GGGGGCATAAAGGATTTTCAAAATTAATAGCTTCTTAGGAATTTTGGACTTGATAGCCGAAAAGTCATTTAAAAAAATTCCTTAAAAATTCGCTTTTTTTGCGGCGATAAGTCAATTTTTCGATTTTGCTGTCAGAAATTGGTATATACCGATTAGTTTCTGTTGGGAACGATAAAAGCTAACATTTTGATATGTTTCTACCACATTCCAATGCACCATATCTTCCCCACCCCCGCAAATATGGAAAATCACCCTTTTTCGAGGGAGTGATTGTGGCGCCCCCTATAATGACAAGTAACCACGATCAAAATGTGGTTTGATGTGCTTGTGTCTATCGAGAAACGTCCATTCTTCACTACCAGTGTCCACTCGATAAAATAATAATCTATTTTTCACATTTTTCCCGTATGAAAAAAACTGCTCCCGCAAATGCTGTTTTTTTTGGCACGAACTCGGACATTTTTGAGCACAATAAAATTTATGATGCAGATAAAAATTTACAAATTTGATGAAGTAGAATTGTTGACAGATGCACAAGCCTACCGTATGACGTTTTAGAGTGATATTTTTCACCAGCACTTACCGCTGGAGCCATCTGTTGAAAAACGACGGAAGCAAAGTTATACACCCAATACAATATTTCTTGTTTTTCCATTCGGAGCATACACAATCAAATTTCTTGGTGTACCGACTCTTGAGCAAGCAACGTAAAGCTGTCCATGAGAAGAACACGGGTTTGTTAAGTTTAAACCAGCGATTTTTTGTGTTTGCCCTTATGATTTATTTATAGTTATGGCGAAGGAAAGTCGTACTGGAAACTGAAGTCGCTTAAATTCAGATGATAGATCTGAAGAAATCATTGGAATTTGTGGAATTAAAACATTTTCTCCTTTATGTTTGCCATTCATGATTGTTGCTTCGATCAAGTTTTGAGAGAGATTTTTGACGATTTCTCTCGTTCCATTACACATTCTTGGTGGATCCAAATTACGTGCGATCATCAAAGGGGCGCCAATTTTAAATTGTAATAAATGTGGTGGCATTCCAGACGATTCCATTGAATTGAGAAATTCAATCGGATAGTTGACTGATTGATTTTCATCCGTCACTGTATCAATTGAATTGTATTTCATAATTTCTCCTGGTAGTGTCAGTAAGATTTGATGATTAATTTTGTTCACATTATCATTCTTTGGTGCTAGTATAGCGCGTTCACCAAGCCAGTCATGATTTTTAAAATTATTTGTAATATCAGGAAATACTTTTTGAATCACATTTTGGAGCGACTCTTCTAATTGGCAAAAGTTAGTTGGAAATAACATTTATTTTGTAACTCGATCAATTGGATACTTTCCATCACCAATTTGCAATAGTTGTTGTGAGAATTGATGTCCCGTTGAATCTCTCTTCAAGTGAACTCGCATGTTGGTTGTTAATTTGATGATTTTTACATGTTTCCATAAGAATGCAGTTTTGATACATGCATTTATTGCATCTGCAGGTGTTGATCGTGGAATGACTGGTAAAGTTTGTCGAAAATCACCAGTTAATAACAGTAGCTTTTTTCGCATCAATTGATTAATTCCAGTAAAATCGCGCATTGTACGATCCAAAGCTTCGTATGATTTTTTATGCGCTATTGTACACTCATCCCAAGCAAAAAGTACTGTTTGTCTCATTAGTGTAGCCAAAGCCATTCCTATAACAATTTATAATTTATAATGCATTTATCAATTTAATCAATGATCATTTATTTTATCTTTTTTATACCTGATTTTTTTCCAATGTTGCAAGTAGGTGATTCGCATTGATGTACATTCAATGGAAGTTTAAACGTGGAATGTGCTGTTCTTCTGCCGTCTAGTAAGGTGGCTGCGATGCCCGACGATGCAACAGAAATTGCTATTTGGTTTTGAAGAAACGTTTTTCCGGTCCCACCTGGTGCATCCAGGAAAATTATGCCACCATTTCCACTGTTGATTTGACTCATAATTGAGTTATATGCATGCTTTTGATCTTCAACCAACAGCTTTTCATTTTTTTTCCACGTAGGCTTTCAATTTATTGCAAGGCCGTAGTCAGCTTCCAAAGTCTGAGGGCGCCCAATGAAAAATTATGGGTGCTTGCAAAAAATAGTTTAGAAGAATGAAAGAAGCAAATATATAGTGTTTTTTTCTACCTTGAAGCTGCTTTTACTGAAATATTTCTGAAAACAATTGGAGGAAATTGAATAGTGCAATTCAGGATAATTTGTGAATATATTTATACCTATATAGAAGATGAAAATTCATATTTACATAAGTTTATCAATTGATTGAAGATTATTGTTTTATTTTTAATTCTAAATCATGAATTTTTTTTGAAATTTCGTTTAATAACGACTTTATCTTGTATTGAGTAAGTTGGACTCGTTCCAATAACTGACGAATCTCTGTAAAAAAAATCAATCATTCTTCTTTCGGTATTTTGCTGCAATCAATATAATTTTGAATTTCAGTTTCGTATTCATTGAAAAGTAAAAAAACTAAATATTCATTTACCTTCCGCATCTTTCCGTTCTTGTTCCTTTTTTCGATCTTCATCCTTCTCTCTTTCACGTAGCTTCTCAGCCATTTTTTTGCCAGGTTTGGCTATGTGTTTGATCGGACATGATGCTACAAAATATATCGTAATTTGTTGCCTCATATTTTGGAAAATACATCAGAAATTGAATAATAATTATATTATTGCAAATCAATAAAGTGTATAATTTGTAAAATCAAAATAAATTTTCTATTAAATTGAATTGTTGGAGGTAGTTACTCTTATAAGATATATATTTCCCAATTTAGTAATTTTTCTCACCTATAAAATCTCAAATGAAAATCACAACTTGATATGGTTTACTGAAGAACATAACTTGACTTACTTACAATATGACAATTGGAATTTCAATCGAAACATCTCCTGATATTTTTTCGATAGAGGCGCTTACAAACAATTCTTGCAAACGGAATCTCAAATGAAATGTTATCATTTCACTATGCATTTAAATCGCTTAAATATTTTTATCAATCATTTAGCATTTGTACACGCCGTACGGATTCGACCGGGCAAATTATACTGTGAAAATATGGCTAATTAGCGTGGCTAGACATGTTTTGCAATTAAAAAAAAATCATTCTGTAACTCTCATGACATTAATTCTCATGTTTTTGTGAGTAACGCCATCTTGTGAAAATTTATGATGATTAAATTGCATCATATTCGTAATGTGTATCAATTTTAAAAAATCATTTCGGAGCGATTTAGGTACACATTTTTTCCTGCTATAAAACCATCTATATCTTCCGTTTAAGGCATCATCTGATGGCATCGTAAAATTTCCATTTTTTCAGCATATAAAATGAGGCGATACGCCTCAATCATCCTTAGATAAGTTATCGACCCAAATGATATGCGGTTTTGCATATTCATTATTTAGGCAGACCTATCATTACATAGCATTACATGAGTTTGAAATTTTGATGTCAACTTTGATATTTCTTTCACCTTTTCATTTGTTTGGAAAAATTTTTGTTCAGTAGACGTGTTTCCTTTTTAAAAAAAAATGGCTCAATTGAGGCATAAATTCCTGCAGGCATAAATTCTCGAGCACCATTGCATCATCGCCGTTCATCTGATGATATTTCAATGTCATCGACAGAATGAGAAGGAACAAGATGCAGAAGAAATTATAGATACTGTACGCACGAAATTTGGAAGCAACGTTTGTTTCAAACGAATTGAATCAAAACATGAGAATTTGTTTACGCAAGGACCATTGTTCAATTTTAGAAATAAACGAAAATTAAAAGTAAATAAAACGAAACATTTAATAGGTGTCTATATATTCCCGTGATATTTATTTTCCCATGATGTGCTTGTATTCAGCGATAATACAGCTTCCCAGCCAGAGTCTCTCCTAACTTCGCTGGCGCCCTGATTCAAAATGCGTTGGCGCCCTTTCAAACTATAATTTTTAAAATTGGGTAAATTTGGCTTTGGCTGCGAAATGCAAAATGATATTCATCATATTTCGTTTCAAATAGAAACAAATGAAAATGATAACAAATATTACTTTTTTTGTTTCCACAATTCCATAAAATATATATTCGATTGGTATGACTACTAAGCATTTTAAAATAATTTAATTCTTATGAAAATATAAGCTGTACCAATGGAATTTGATAGAAATATGCATTCACAAAAATATTTCAAATTCCATTGGTACAGCTCATATTTTTATAAAAATTTAATTAATTTAGAATGCTTAGGAGTCATACCAATTGAATAAATTTTATGGAATTGTGGAAACAAAAAATGACGTATGCATCGACGCATTGGTCTGCTAAATGATTGAAACATTCATCTTCGGAAGACAGTCAAACAAAAGAAGTGCTATGGCTGGTGGCCTTTTTTCTGTTAATGATTTTCTGACGATGAGATGAAAGACACCCGTAATCATGATCACGATTTTAGATAGAATATGACCTCAGCAACTTTAATCACGATCGAATTATGCTAGAGTATGACATTGATCGTGACGGGATTATGCTGGATTTTGACCTTGCCAACCGTAATCACGACTAGATTATGCTAGATTATGACAATGAACACGACTGGATCATGCTAGATTATGACCTTACACAGAGGAAATTCTCAAAAAGATCAACGAAGTAGATAGAAACTTGTTGGATATTATCACGCAACGAAACCAATAAAAAAACGCTCGAGCTATTTTCTTTTTCTATTTATTTCTATGGATGTTGTTCGTCCAAGTTACATGACATTACTAAAATCTATTTCGCTATGTCGCGGCCTATTTATACACGAGCTGGTCAAGAGCCAAAGGCTGCTTGCACAAAAATAATGTGAACATGAAAATGCTTAAAAATATCTGTTCAGTTCTGAACATCCTGCCCGGCCTGGCCCGATGTTCCTTTGCTGCAAATTGGTAGCAGGCACAGCTTGACGATTGGTCAGCGATAAACGTGTCCCCTGTTGGTTACATCTGCTACTCTGACGTGGCCGTCGTCTCCCTGAATGGTTTTGATCACTCGCCCCAGTGGCCATTGTGTCGGTGGTAGCGTATCTGTGACGATTAGGACGATGTCGTCCACCTGAACGTTTCGTTGGCTATGTCGCCACTTGTTGCGCTCCATTAGCGTGGTCACGTATTCGTTCGACCATCGTTCCCAAAATTCCTGGGTCATTTTGTTCATCAATTCGAAGTTTCTCAGCCTGTTGGCGGCTACTGACGTGTAATCACGACTGAGTGGGGCGATTAATGGCTCGCCCACGAGAAAATGGCCTGGTGTCAACGCCAGCTCGTCCGCCGCGTCGTCACTCAAGGCGATCAGTGGCCTGGAACTCAGGCAAGCTTCTACTTGCGTTAGCAATGTCGCTAATTGCTCGAATGTGAGCTGTTGAACGCCTATGACGCGTTTGAGGTGTGATTTTGCGCTCTTCACTGCAGCTTCATGTAGGCCGCCCATGTGTGGAGCTGATGGTGGTATGAATTTCCACTGTGTCGTGGTACCGTTCTGCGAACCCAACTCCCTCCAGGTGCTGTGGATTTGGCGCGCCTCATTCGAATCGCCCTGGAATGTCCGTTTTATTTGCTGCTGCCCATTTGACGCTCCCTGGAAAGTTGTGGAATTGTCGGCGAACAGCACCTTGATCCTCCCCCGGCGGCACGAGAATCGCGTGAATGCCGCGATGAATGCCTCCGTTGTCATACTAGACACGAGCTCCAAGTGTACCGCTCTGGTGCGTGTGCAAACGAAAACCGAAATATAACCTTTGTCAATTATCTTTGTCCGAGCTGCGTTATATCGCTTGATGTTGACTGGGCCCGCGTAATCGACGGCTGATGCCTCAAACGGTCGCCCTGGCGTCACTCTTTCCTCCGGTAGGTGTGCCATCAGCTGATGCTGCGTCTCTTTCCTCTGTCGGATGCATGGCACACATTTTGATATGGCTGTTTTAACTGCGTAGCGGCCCCCCAGGATCCAATACTTCTGTCTTATGTATTGGTGCGTGAGCTGCGTGCCACCATGCAAGGTTCGTTCGTGCGCCAGTTCGGTGATTAATTTTGCTGTGGTGCAATTCCCATTTAAGAGTATGGGATGTACACTGTCGTATGGCATGTTGGATCTCTTGATTCTCCCCGCTAGTCGCACAATTCCGTCATTATCCATGAACGGGGTCAATTTTGATAATGGTGATCCCTGTGGCAGGTCCTCTTTGTTGGTTAATTTCTCGATTTCTTTGTTGAAATGCACACTCTGGCTGTGTCGTACCCAGATTCTCTCGGCGTTCAAAATTTCGTCGTCGGATAATTGTCCTTCCTTTCTGAACGCCTTCTTCACCGTAAATCGAAGTACGTACGCTGTGATGCGTAGTTGTTTCGGTCAATTGCTGAATTGGTGCAGCAGATTCCCATTCGCGTTTGAAATGGGTCCATCATCGTCGATGTGAGCGTTTACCATCGCTGTCGATTTCCGCTCGTGGCAGCGAACGGCTTCGATGTCGGTTTCCGTTAGTGTCAATTTGCTTTCTGGCCATTTCTCTCTGTTGAGTGTTAACCAGCTGGGTCCATTCCACCCATTAGTTTGCAATCCGCCAATTCCGTTGGTGAAATTCCCCGCGAAGCTAGATCGGCTGGATTGCTTTTTGTGTCCACATGTTTCCATTCAACCCCGCGCGTTAGCTCCTGTATTTCTCCGACTCTGTTGCCAACAAACACGTCTAATTTGGCAGGTGATTTGCCGATCCAATGTAGTGCTATCATTGAGTCGGACCAAAGAGTGCAACTGTCTATGTCGACATCATGTGCGGTTCTCACTTCTTCCAGTAATTGTGCCGTGAGATGGCATGCTGTCAGCTCCCATTTCGGAATTGTACTGCCCTTAATCGGTGCGACGCGTGCCTTCGCAAACACCAAATGTACGGTGACTGGATCGCCATCACGTTGCTGTCTGAGGTAGAATGTGGTGCCGTATCCGGTTTTTGATGCGTCGGCGAATGCATGCAGTTGCTTTTTGGACTTAAGATCTGTGTTGATCCACCTCGGAATGCGTACATTCGTGATGTTTGGTAATTCCCTGGCGAATTGCTCCCATCTCTGCAGTACTTCTCCCTCGACTTTGTCGTCCCATTCGACCTTGTCGGACGAAATGCTCCTCTTCGTTGGATTTTCCAATCTGATTGGATTTTTGATGATGTATTGGAATGTGTCTTCCCTTGCATCCCAGTGCATACCGAGCACTGCTGTCGTTTCTTCTTTGTTGAGCTCGATCAGTTGGCAGCCGCTTGATTTGATGTGCCCACGCACTGTTGGATCGTTGGTGTTCCATTTAGCTAGCTCCATCTTTCTTTTACCGAACATCTCGATCAGTTCCCTGTGTAGATTGATGGCAGATGTAATATCGTGGCTACCGCCCAATGCATCGTCAACGTAAAACGATGTTTTCACGGCTTTTGATGCCGCTGGGAATTCTGTGGCGAATTCTTCAGCCATATGAGCCATGGTGCGTATGCTGACGTATGCTGCTGACTTGTTCCCATATGTCTGGGTGTTCAGCCGATACTCGTGAACCGGTTGACTTGGCGATTCTCGCCATAGTATCCGCTGCATGTCTCGTTGATCCTCCGCAATCAGTATCTGTCGATACATTTTAGCGACGTCAGCGGTAAGCGCAATTCTGTGTGTACGAAATCTCATGAGAGTAGTGATGAGTTCTGGTTGAACCTTTTCTCCGTTCAACTGAATGTCGTTGATTGAAATTCCGTTTTTCGCCCTAGCGCTTCCATCAAATACGGTACGGAATTTTTCCGTGCCTGCTGCATGATGAGGTATGTAAATTGCTGTGTCACTGTGATGCTCCTGTGGTGGCACTTTACTCATGTGATTCAATTCCTCGTAGTCGCGCATGAATTTTATGTATTTCTCCTTCAGTTCTGGATCGCGAGCAAATTTTCGTTCCATTTGCATTAGCCTTGCATATGCTATGTCGTATGAGCCGATCACCTTTGGTGCATCTGGTTGCAATGGCATTCTCGCGATGTAGCGACCCTCATGATTGGTCGTGATGCTGTTGGTGAATATGTCTTCACATAGCTGCTCTTCTTGAGTACGATACCGCTTGGTCGGTAGTTGATCTTGTTGCCAAAACTTTGTGATCATCTCTAGCAGCTGCTCGTTCGAGACCGAGCCTTCGATGGTGTTGACGATTGATGCGTGTTGGTACGTATGATCGTATCCGCCAAACACTATCCACCCGAATGTTGTCCGTTGAGCCGTTGGCGCGTCTTTCTGCTTTCGAATTCCGTTTATGATAACGCGGCTGTAGAAGTCGGCACCAAGTAACAAGTCCACTTTGTTGGGAATATGGAAAGTTTTATCCGCCAGCTTGATGCCTTTCAGATGTCTCCATTTGCTGATATCTAGTTCGTGGCTCGGTAAATTACTCATCATTTTGGGCACGATGTATGCGCCCACGTACTCGTTGACTGTGTCGTCATGTTGGGAAATTAAATTTATCCATGCGATGCCCTTGGCGGCTACGATGTCTCCGTTGAGATTTTTGATTTGCATAAACGTGGCTGTTCTCTGAGGTCTTAATAGTTGTACTGCATGTCCAGTAATTAAGTTGATCTGACCCCCGAGGTCGCAAAGTGCGCGCAATGTTTTAGTGCTCCCCTGATGATCCTTTGCGACCACCAAAATGGTAGCAAGTAGTGCGATGCTTATTTCTCGTCCTAGTCATTTCGATGCCTCGGTGGCTTGGACAGTTGGCGCTATGTAGCTCATGCACAACAGTCCGTTGTGGTTTCCATTGCAGTGTTTGCAGGGGCCGAGCTTGCATTTGTTGACATGGCACCGTGGTTTCAAACACTTTTCACACAGTGAAAACTGTCGAACGCGGCGAATTCGTTGTTCCACTGTTAGCTTTTTGAACGCCGGGCAGTTGAACAATTGATGTTCGCTTTGGCACATTGCACACTTTACTGGAATCTTTTTTGCGATTCTCAGTGTTGAGTCTCGTAATCGTTCAGCAATGCGATTGATTCCCAACATCAATTGGTTCCAATACTCATGGAATGTGTGGAAAATCTGCGTCGACTGCTCTTCGAAGTTGTTCCCGTCGTTGATTGACAGGTTTTGCATTTCCCCTATCGGTGACTCCACCGATAGTCGCTGTGATGCGAGCGATGGGTGGTTGTCACCCGATGGCTGCGACGATGAACTGTGGCTTGTTTCCGTCGGTTTGTTCTGATACAAACCCAACACCGACATGCTGCTTTGTCCCGTTTGCTGTGGTGCAACTACCTTGGCTGGCACCTTTTGTTGCATTGATGCTTCAATAATTTCCCCAGCCGCTGCGTTGTAATGTGCTGACGCAGTGTATATGCCTGGTGTATACCGGTTTGTATCCCGTGCTCGGGTTAGCGTGTGCACATTTACCGCTGCGGAAGTGCCAGCTGGTGCGAAGGTTGGTTGTGATACTGTCGGCATTGGTTGATCAACTTCAGGCAATGGCGCCGTTTGCCAAAATGTCATATCTGGCTGCGTTGCTGGTTTGCTTTGTTCGTATAACGGTACATAAGCTCGTTTTTCTACCGTGCGGGGCAATCGTAAACCGCCATGCTGCGGTGCCGTGATTTGAATTTGCTGTGGTGCATTGGCATTCACAGGCGATATTGTGTCATTCGTTGCCTGCTGTGATTCTGGTTCCCGATCGGTTGCTGCGTTACACTTGATGCTATGTTGCTACTTGCTTGAATATTTGACGCGTGACCGCCATCTTGTTGCGATGCACTTGCAACGGGTTCCGAGTCGCTCTGTTGCGAAAGAATGGGCTTCGTCGCCAATGGTGCGATGTTTCCTGCTTCACCAATGACTGCTTCGATGTTTTCTCGTCGACTCGACTCGCTTCGTTCACTATGTTGCTGGGTTTGCATACTGGTTGGCCGTTTTGGTACGGCTCCAGACGGTGGCTTCATTGCCAACTTGGATGGTTCCACGATCGTCGGCCCAGCACTTTGGGATCGAGTACGGCGCTTTGATGCCGGTGATTCTCCCGTTCTTGACTCCGCAAATCTCTTTTCCGACGTGTGACTCTGGTCTGCCATTTTTCGTTGTGTTACGAGTTTCACAATAGCACGAAATTATTGCCTGCGACAGTTTATTTTGATGAACTTCACTTTTTTCGTTCTGTCACGAATTTCACAATCGCACGAAATTATTGTTTGTGCTGGTTTACTTGGATGAACCTTACTTTTTCGTTATTGCACGAATTTCACAATCGCGCGAAATTACTGTATCTGGTCTTTCGCTGTTTTCAATCGTCCGTGCGATGAATTTGTTCGTTTATGGCAACGCGAACTAAATAATCCCCGTCAACAACACTTGAAATTGCTTATTTTCCAATTCCGTTTGTTTTTTTCACTCGAAAGAATGTGTCGCAGTTAAAATGCGTCCGTACTACTTAAACACTCAGACTGAAATGTCAACTCTATTGTCCGGCTATTGCTGACTCGAGTGTTTCGCTCATGTGTTTGAGCCGATGACGCTTACACCGATATTGTTTGTATTGTCGTTGGCATCATATTGCATCGTTCGGCTGTGTTGCCTTGTGTGTATGCGTGCGGTCGATTCTGTGTTGACCATGTGTGCTATGTTATTCTTCGATGCTGTGATGCTGTACTCGCTGTCGCCTTGTTTGGGTTTTCGTTCGATTCTTGGTAATTCCCCTAATTGCTTCAGCATGTTGTTGCACTTTGAGTTTTCTCGATTTTTCAACTTCTAAATCGATGCCAAATGTCTGGCAATTTATTGCTTCGTTGCATTTTCTCTCTTTTATGGCCATAAAAAGAGAGATTTGGGTGTTTTTCTCCCGTTGTGTTACACATTTGTTCGCTCAGACCGTAATATCCTTGTCATCTGTGTGTCAAACGCTGTCCTATGTTGAGCTTCGACTCTGGTGTCGATTAGGGAAATTCCCACACACATTTTTTGACCGTTTGTCAGGAAATCGTTGTGCGGTCTTTTTCCCAGAACAAATCCGACAATTGAGTCGTTGTCTCAAATCTCTCTGTGTCGAGAAAACAAATTTCTTCGGCGAAATTGAGTTGTTCACGCTGTGACGCGTATGCGAGAAAAAATGTTTGACCGTAAAAAATGTTGGTCTGTCTTTCTTCTCACAGTCGAAGGACCATGTTGGATATTATCACGCAACGAAACCAATAAAAAAACGCTCGAGCTATTTTCTTTTTCTATTTATTTCTATGGATGTTGTTCGTCCAAGTTACATGACATTACTAAAATCTATTTCGCTATGTCGCGGCCTATTTATACACGAGCTGGTCAAGAGCCAAAGGCTGCTTGACCAAAAATAATGTGAACATGAAAATGCTTAAAAATATCTGTTCAGTTCTGAACAAAACTTAAAATTCAAAATTGAAAGACAAAACGAAAAAGGCGCCATCAATTATCTTGACTTCACGATCATCAACGAACCTTTAAATCTAAAAACCAAATGGTATCAGAAAATAATCGCATCCGGAATATTCCTGAATTTCCATTGCCACCACCCAGCAACGGTTATTAAACACACAGCTATAACATACGTGGTAACCATGATCATCAACTCTAGTCCAGAATACCATGATCTTCTTTACCAAAATCAAAATGTTCACCATTCAACCTATCACCTTATCAAGATCAGATTATGCTGGATTACGAGTTAATCACGACTAGATTATGCTAGATTATGACTTCATCAACAGTAATAACTATGGGATTATGCTGGATTATGACCTCATCAACCATAATCACGATCAAATCAATCACGTTACATTATGCTAAATTAGGACCTTGCCAACCGTAATCACGACTAGATTGTGCTGGCTTGTAACGATGATCACGGCTGGATCATGCTAGATTATAACCTTATCAACCATAATCTCGATCAGATTATGCCAGATTATGACGTTGATCACTACTGAATCATGCTGGATTATGACCTTACCAACCGTGATCACGATCGGATTGTGCTGGAATGTGACGTTAACAACCGTAGTTGCGACTAGATTATGCTAAATATTGACGTTATCAAGCATAATCACTGTCAGATTGCGCTAGATTGTGACCTCAGATTAAATGTCTAAAGACTTGTTCTCATAGTTGTCCCACGGCGAGGGCTTTTCAATTGTTATGGGCATATTCATTCCATAAATTATGTATTCACAATGTATGTGGGTTATCCGAAGGCAATGGCGCTGTAATGCATCGATGTAATCAAATGGGAGATACAAGATAGAAAAAACGAATTGAACTTACTGTGGAATACAAAATTTATGGAATGAATATGACCATAGCATTTGGAAAGGTCATATCTAAAACTAAAAACAATAATTTTTGTAATGGTTTTGTATTTTTCTTTATATTAATGATTAAATTGAACATTATATTGGATTGTATAAAATACACCTCTCATGTAATTTCTACTTAGTAGTGTATATTGCTGAATGCTGAATATTGCTGAATATATATATATAATGCTCGATAAAAAGAAGTATAAATAAAACACTAGAGTTGGTCATATGCTTACAGCTATTTTTTTTATTGAAGTCAATATTTTGACAACAAAATGTACTTATATACTACATCACCTATGTATAAATCAGGTGGAGGGAGAAGCCCATGCTATTGTTCTTACATACTACATCACCTATAAAAGAGGTGGAGGGAGAAGCCCATGCTAATTTTGTTTATATTCCGGTTTCCAATCTTCGTTTATTCTGGTTTGTCGCCAACGAGTGTGTTCATGCAACCGAACATGTAGCGACCTTTCTGTTCTTGTGCGCTTCCAAATGGAAAAAAATCCCCACACGAGTAGCAAATTTTGACCTTAGACCCATCTTTTAATGATATGTATAAGATTTCGTCGTCCGGAATTTGAGCGATGATGGTGTAATATTTAGTATCACCCACTTTAGCAATAAATACGTCCGATGAACTGAAACGTGCTAAAATGGCTCCGCAAACGATACACAAAATCTTTTCGTCCTCAGGTGGTGGTGGTGGTAATGGTGATTTTTGGCCAATTTTCAATTTCTGATGATTCAGCAGACGGTGAACGCAATCGCTTGGTTAAAGGAAAATTTGACATCTTTATTTCTGTGTGATTTTATGGATATTGGAATTTCACTTGGACTTTGCGTCTTCTTAACAACACGGTGGCACAATTGCTTATTGTATTTCGGAGCCAAACAATACCGTTCGACTTACTGACAGACAATATGATTTTCATCGTAGCCAACTTCATTCTGTTCATCATGTTTACGTATTTTATGTACGATATGGAATCAATTGGCTTGAGTACTTTTTTTATGACAAATATTATCGTGAATGTGTGATTTCCGTTGATATTTGTTTTTGTTACGACGAATTCAAATGAACTTCTCAATTACATTAAAACAATTAAATTAAAGATTTTTTTTTTGATGCAGGTCATTGACCGTTCCATTTATTTGTGAAATTTTTAAGTTTTGACAAAGATTTTAATGGAAAAAGCATATCAAAGTGATAAG